CACAGATGCTGTATCTAATAATACTCTATTCACTATTCTTTAAGAAGTGAGGAAAAAGTAATTCTTTGTTTTGCTGAAAACTACTCCTCTATTGAAATCCTTCATACTGTCTCATCTTTATTCAATGAAACATTCGTCTGCCGCTCTATATTTCTTTTCCTGCAATATTCAATGATAGGGGTATATTGAAACATAAAACACGATTTATGATTATAACTAAACATTCCTTTTCGTGTATTGGCTTTCATTGTGTATCCCTCTGTTTAATAGCCACCGTACGGGAAAACCATACTATTTAGAATTTCAATACAATCACGGAAGAAAAACATCCTCGAAATCACAGATGCCGCTATAAATAACTACAATAGATATACACAAAAATTGCGCATCAAGAATACATAAATTTCAAATAATCATACTACAGTACAATTCTACATATACTATACTCCACAGAACAGGGAGTGGGAATCCTAAGATATGATTCAACTGAGGTATACATATTTGCTTAGTATATAACAGAACATAGCATTACTATAAATACTGTAATAGGAAGTAATTCCCAAGAAGAATATATTCCTGGATGTGCAAATCAGTAAAAGGTAATAAATGCTGTCGATAGGACAGTAATCACATTCTCATTTGAATATGCTACACATATATATTACATTAGAATTATAACACTGCAGAAAAGAAGTCTCCCAAAACAATTATTCCAACATCCCGATTCATATAGTCATTGTACCCAGTACCCTAAATCGTCATTGCCGGATATTGCACATATTGATATGCATATACATTCATCGCACTAAAAGGATAATCATCTTTTAAGAAAAACTAAATCTACTAATCCATAGGGGTACTTTTGTCTTCCCAAATCTTTCTCCTTTGCCGCTTCCTTTTCCCCCTCATATATGTGAAGCAATATATATTATAATATTCATTAAGGGAGTATTCACTCGTCATTAACTATATATTCAACAACCTGGGTGAACCAATACATATAGCACTGTCTAGTTTGGAAGGTTCCACTCTTTAATGTGCCATTACAAGAACTTATAGCTGTCAACTTATTCACATTTTCTCAATAAATACCCTGCTTAATGTTACATGGCACAAGCACTATGTCCTAATTTCATACTAAATGCTTAGTTCCTTACTAATTCATTCAGGCACCCCTTGTCGCAATATACGAATTATCACGCCAATATATAATATACTTCATTGCTCATGAATGCACGTATACCTTTTGTCATGTATACATATATTTCCTTCTGTAAAAAGTAAACAATACTTTAATTCTATTATTTCCCCTTCTTTCTTTAATGTGCATCGTGTTAATCGAAACAACACTTGTATTGGATGAACCAGTTTAATAGAATTCTGATGTCTACAATAAAATTCTATAAAATGATTAGAGAATTGTGAAACTGACTAATTCGTCTTAAACCGATAAAACATACGAGTCAAATACTTTTTCCTTCTTTTCGGCGTTGTAATATTCCGTAGTAACAGAGGGAATTTATTTTATAATTCCTCAGTTAACTTATCATTTAACAGAATGCGATCATCCAGCATAATGAACATAGGAACAATTTTTTTCTGTAACAAAATCTCTTAGCAATAGACACATCATGTTATATCATGTTTATGGATTAGTCATAAAAATAGATATAACATTGAAAACAATTATATGAAGAATATTATTCAAATAGTTTACTAAGGTTAGCCAACATTTTACCCCATGACAGTATCGCTTGTATTGCCATATAAGGGGGTACAATACTGTTTAAATTCATCCAGCTAAACTCTTAGAACAGCTATGTATGCAGTAACTTTACTCTCCTCTATTCTTGTAAACTACTCAATAAAAATGCACTACAGAATG